GCATGTGGTACACAGACATAGATGCAAGCAAACACTTAAAATAGATTAATGTTTAAATAAAAAGAGGGGTAGGGGACCAGTGTGTAAGAATTGAATGCCTTCAAATCTGATGCCTTCAAAGCCCAAAGCCCCAAAGTCACTGTTAAACATCCCCAAGTGACTGCCATTTTTAGTTGAGTTTCTTTCTTTCTTTCTTTCTTTCTTTCTTTCTTTCTTTCTTTCTTTCTTTCTTTCTTTCTTCCTTCCTTCCTTCCTTCCTTCCTTCCTTCCTTCTTTCCTCTCTCTCTCTCTCTTTCTTAAAGATTTCTGCCTCCTCCCCGCCACTGCCTCCCCTTTCCCTCCCCCTCCCCCAATCAAGTCCCCCTCCCTCATCAGCCCAAAGAGCAATCAGGGTTCCTTGCCCTGTGGGAAGTCCAAGGACCACCCTCCTCCATCCAGGTCTAGTAAGGTGAGCATCCAAACTGCCTAGGCTCCCACAAAGCCAGTACGTGCAGTAGGATCAAAACCCAGTGCCATTGTTCTTGAGGTCTCAGCAGTCCTCATTGTCCGCTGTGTTCAGCGAGTCCACTTTTATCCCAGGCTTTTTCAGACCCAGGCCAGCTGGCCTTGGTGAGTTCCCGATAGAACATCCCCATTGTCTCAGTGTGTGGGTGCACCCCTTGCGGTCCCGAGTTCCTTGCTTGTGCTCTCTCTCCTTCTGCTCCTGATTTGGACCTTGAGATTTCAGTCCGGTGCTCCAATGTGGGTCTCTGTCTCTGTCTCCTTTCATCGCCTGATGAAGGTTAATATTCAGGAGGATGACTATATGTTTTTCTTGAGACAGGCTTCCTCTGTAGCTTTGGAGCCTGTCCTGGAACTAGCTCTTGTAGACTAGGCTGGCCTTGCACTGACAGAGAACCGCCTGACCTGCCTCTGGGATTAAAGGCATGTGCCACCACTGCTCAGCTCTAGTCAAGCACTCTTGGGACCTATTGCCTACAATTCCATATTAGCAAACAAAGTACTAGAAAGCACAGCAGGTCAGAACTCCTAAGGCCACAGGCCTCTGTGAGGAACAGATTGGAAAACTCTGGGGTGGAGACCAGGGCGGTTCTGTGTTTTACGGACCCTGTTAGCTGTCAGCAGATTGCAGGATTTCTTTTGGCTTCTTCTGAGATGTTGATACTTCCAAGCTGTATTTGTGTGAAGGCTTCTTGGATGTGGAGTTCATAGCTAACAGTGGACTGTGGGACGTGGCAGTTTGTATAGGGAAAAGAATGGTGCACTTCAGCTTCATTTGGTACAAGGCGTACCTACACAGCGGCACGGCGGTAGAGGAAGGACCAGGGACCATGCACTGCACACCCTGCAGTGTCACAGTGTGCTCTACCGAAACAAAAGCCACAGCTTGGGTGTGGTGGGGGAACTGTAATCTCAGCCCGTGGGAGGTTGAGGCAGGTTGTGAATTCAAAGTCTCCATATATATTGATCTCCAGCACAGCATATAGCCCAGGCTGGTCCTGAACTCCTTATATAGCTGAGGATAACCTTGAACTCCTGATCTTCTGACCTCTACCTCCCAGATAGTAGGATGATAGTGCAGGCATGTGACACAGTTGTCTTCCCTTCCACTGGACCCAGAACCTCTTCCTGGCATCTCAGATGCTGCACCATCCTGAAGGTACCTCCTCCTCCCAGAAGGCCCCCCTCATAGCAGCCACACTATCCTGCTTCTCTTTCATTAGTATAGCAAGCTGCAGTGCAATTATCTGTCCAGTTTTCCTTCTCCATGACTAGGCTTTCAACATTTTAAGCATCACCATCAAAGCTTCAATATACCTGTCCAATTATGCATCTCTGATGCATGCCTAGCACCGTGCCAAAGATAAACAAACTCCCCTCGAGGAACGAAATAATTAGATGCCTGTCCCCACAGCAGGTGAGCTCTCAAATACAGCCTATGTACATACAGTGTGTGTTTAAAGGCAAGAGCGAGAGTGCATGTTTCCTAAATCCAAAGAGTTTTGAAAAGCAAAGCAGAGAGGACTCTTCAAGAGTAAAGTTGTCCCTTACTTTGGGGGATGACCCCGGGCTGAGTGTGTCTGTGTAATCCGAAAAGAGATAAATATAGTCTGTAAGCAAGAAGGACAGGGTGGCCAGGAGGGAGGCTCATGCATTCCGTGTGGTGTCCATCCCTCAGGCGTCTGCAAGGATCTATGGTAGCATGCTCCATGCAACGGCCTTCCGGGAAGTCTCTGCAGAATCCGGGCCCTGCTTCCCCTTTAGATAAGCCACTGATATTGGCTGCCCCCTTGTCTTTAGAGCTTGGAAAACTAGATGGCAGATTTTAGCCATTTACACCTGTGTCCTTTCAGCCATGGTCACCGCAGTCAAGCTACCCAAATTCCAGAATGCATTCTTAGGATGGTAAGAACGCAGGTGCCACCTTCTAGGTGGTAAGCCCAGGCATAGTCATCTCTTCAGTTATCCAGTCTTTGAAAACAGTGATTCTCATTTGCCATGTTACACTGATGATTCCAAGTTTCAGACCAGAATCTTCTAGATTCTCTAAGAACATGCCCTCCACATTCTTCCTGCTCCTACAGCCCCTCTCAGGGACAGCCCAGAGTCTGTCCAGCTGATTAGAAGCTCTCCCCAGAGTTACTGTCTCAAGAGTGCCACGAGCACTGTCCTCATAACAAGGAAGGCAGAATCTGGAGAAGGGGCCAGGCTGTGAAGCTTCTCCCTCACTCCAGACCTGAGGCGTGGACGCCTCTGGGGGCGGCAGCCTGAGGATCCCCCAGAAAGCTCCAGTGTGTTGTCTGTGGAGCTAAATCTACTGCACGGAGCACGCAGTGTTACAGTTGAGCAGAGACTGGAGACAGAGGAGATAGAGCTCCATCTCCAGAGCACTGGAGCTGATCTCGGTGGAGTGTGTGGGACAGATGGAGACAGAAGGAGCCATGACTAACGAGGGTGGGGTGCCATGCACATGACCGCATCACCATCCAGACAGTCCTCGTGCTGCTATTTTTAATCACAGGAATCATAAAATAGGTGTCAGATGGGCTGGTCCATTTCCGCAGGCTGAGGACAGGAGAGACAGAGAGGTTCTTTCCAGGGAAGAGAGGTTGCTGCATGAAGGCCATTAAGAATGTGGCTCTCAAAGGCCAGGCTTTGCCTTGAGCCTCACCAGCCCTGAACTGTGTGTTCCTATAACCATAACAACAGACTCCTCATCCCACCCGTTTCAGTCCTGGCCCTGCGAACTTAACAGACATAGATAGAATCTTCTGAATGCAGACTGTGGATCGAACACTGGGGAGTCAGATACAGATACGATCTGTGGTCCTGAAGGAAATTGCACCTCACTGAAAAGGAGCGCCCTGTACCTGACAGTGTCTGCTGGACTGTCGCGGGTGCAAGCCTGTGGCAGGGAGCCTCTGGGAAAGCTTCCAGTGGAGGTGACAGCTAGCTCCGGCTGATTCTTCAAAGATCAGCAGAGGTGTCGGATAAATAGACGAGAAAGAGCCTGGAGGAGGAGGGGAGGAGGAGAATGGCAGATTTCTTTTTCTTTTAATGAAAGAGTTCTGGCCTAGTGTGGGTTCCCAAGCCAGATGAGGGATAATACAGCATTGTCCAAACCTAGGACTTTTCTCAGAGAGCACGACAGGAGTGGGGCTGCTTCCTACTTAAATCAGGCTTAGGCCTACTCAACTCCATAGAGACAAAGGCCACATGATGATAAAGTCAGACAAGCTTCTGTCCTGCCCTGTCTACCTGACAACTAGCCCCTGTCCCCAGAGAACTAGCTTCTTAGCAATCATGTGACTGGAAGTCTGATAGTCTGGCCGATGTGCTTGGAGAGCCCTGTGTGCACCTCTCCTCAGTGCCCCCCCCCCCCGGGAGCTGCAGCACTTCCTCCCTGGACACACACACACACACACACACACTCCAGCTATATAAGCTAGCTCAGCCATTTCAATAAGCTGTCCTCTGAATCCGTCTCCAAGTGTTTCATCCCCATCACCCCATGACCCTGCTCCCTAACTCCTCTGCATGCTGGAACCGCCAGTGCACAAGGGCTGATCAGGGTCAGGGAACCCAAGCCTAGCATGCACTAAGCCCTGAGTGCCTCTCCTAGTGTAAACCAAGTGTAATGGCACACAGCTGTAACCCCAATACTTGAGAGATAGAGGCAGGAAGTCCAGAATACATGGTGATCCTTGGATGTGTAGCATGACCGAGGTCAGCCTGAGCTACGTGAGATCCTGTCTCAAAAGACAAAAGCCTGTAGCCTTCTCCGAAACCTGGCTATAACAGGTTTCCCAGGAACCCAGGTAGATGCCTGCATTGACCACTGCTCTTGGAGGCTGCTCAGGGCGGGAGGCTGCTCAAGGGAGGCTGGCACAGTAGGCCACCCGTCCCTTTGAATGGGCTCCTTCCGGAGGCTGGGTTGAGAGCAGATCCAGGCGGTGAGGGTTGGCCTGCAAGTGGCAGTGGCAAATTGGGGTATTGGAGCTGAACAGGAATAGGGACCTCCCACCTTGGGCTTGGCGGTGAAGCATATAACTAACTCCTGGCTCAGGACCAGGACCCGCTTCACCAGCCACAGGAAGAAAGACTGGATCGTTAAACAGAAGCTAGACGCTAAGAGCAGAACCTTCTAGATTCTGCAGCTTTCATCTGGACTCTAGTTTGTGTTACGAAATGCCTGGAAATTCAAAGAGGAGTTTAACGACCCAGATGGGCCGTAATGGGAAACCAGGAAGAGCTGTGCCACCAGGGGATGGCAGGAAGTAGACCCACAGATGTGCTTGCCATCTGGGCCTTGGAGGCCTGCTTCTCATTTCCTCTGACCAAGCACTTCAGGCCCCACCCCCACCCTTGAGTCCTGTGGCCTCGCAGGCACAGTCTCTGGTCAGGCCCCACCTGTCTGGCCACAGCCTCTCTGCCAAGGCCAGCTCGATGGTCTGAATTGTGATGATGTGACTGAGGTCACCCACTGTGTCTCCAAACAGGGATGAGAGAGGAGATGTCACTGGGACGCCAGGAGGCTTTTGAAATTTTCAAGAGGGACCATGCAGACAGTGTCACCATTGATGACAACAGACAAATTCTCAAGCAGAGGTAAGACCCGGCCAGAAAGCAGCCGCCCACAGGCTTAAGCAGACCAGTCCGGAGACTTCCTATACTATCCTTCTAACTGCTTAGCCTAGTGTCTGCAAGAAAGGTCTAAGGTCTACAATTTTACATTTCCCATGTGCACCCTGACTTACTTCCTGTGTGAGCTTTACCATCCCATAACTACTGGTTAGCCAGGTGTAGGTCAGGATCTGCCCCTGCCAGCATTAGCTCCATGGACAGTGCTCACTTTGTATGTATTCTCACAAGCCTAGCACTTTTAATGTCTTCATCATCTTCAAGGGAGAATTAGGCAATCTGGGGTATGGCTCAGTGGGTAAAGAGCTTGCTGTGTACCCATGGGGATCTGAGGTCCAATCACCAACACCTTGTACTTGTGATCCCAGCACTGGGAAGACAGAAAGAAAAATAAGGTTCTCTGGGGCTTGATGGTAGTCAATCTAATTAAATAAATGAGTTTCAGGTTTAGCTTCTAAAAAAAAAAGTAATAGAAGAACAATGGAATTGGTCTCTAGTCTACACGTACACATTTTTTTATGTATAGACCAAATTGCATTCCTAGGTCCTCCATATTTTTGGTAGAATCAAGAGTTCAAGTAGATGAAAGGCATGGGGAGAGAGATGAAGGTTTAATATAGCTGCTACATGGAGGGATGAGAGACTTGACTGGGAAGGACCAAGGAACAAACCCAGACCGATATAGCTGCTTCCCCAGGGCGGGAGCAGATCTCAGCGCTCTGCAGGAACCAGTAATGCAATTCCTATCCAGAACTCCAGAGAGCAGTCCAGAGAGGTGTGTGCACCTTGTGACCTATCAACTCTATTTTGGGGTAAATCTCTCCCCTGGGCTCCCAGAAGGGCATGTAGAACTTTCATGGCTGCACTGTGGTAGCTGAGATAGTTGAGCATACTCTGGGTTCCGTGCTGAGCTGCTGGTAGGTGATATAACAGAAAGTCCATAGATTAGGAAGCAGTATGGTAGTGGTGGTGGAGTGATGGACTGGCTACTTGCATATCAACAAGAATAGATCTTAAAAGCACAACACTAGGAAGGCACACAGTTCCAAACACTTACAGATGTACTAGCCTGAAACCAGAGACCTTCATACAGAAATAGCCACCTGAGTGTACCCTACAAATGGAGGTCTGCGGTGGGGTGGGAGGGGGAGACAGATGACTCACTGGCTAAGAGTGATTGCTACTTAAGCACAAGGCCTGATTGCAGATCCCAGCGCCCATGTAATGTTCTGGACTTGGTCACATGAGTACCTCTCACTCCAGTGCTGTAGGGTGGAAACATGAAGATTGCTGAAGCTTCCTGGCTACCAGCACAGCTCTATTTCAGGGAGAGATGCTGTCTCAAAGAAATAACATGGAGACTGACTGAGCCGGACACCTGGTGTGCTCCTCTGACCCCACATACACGGGCACTCACGTCCAACATACACACACATGCACACACATACACATAAAGAATAGAAGCAGGAAGTGGGGAACTAAATAGCAATCAATGGCCAAAGTCAGGCGAGGTAGGTGCAGGGTGGGCCTGAGAAGAGCCAAAGACTCTCCTAGAAGCGTGGACATACACTGACTTTGATTTTAGCATTGGAGACCCAAGGGCTTTCAAACCGGCTGATGCTTCTGCTCCCCTGCATGCCACGCATTCCTAATATGGCCAATGAGGTGTGGTAGAGCAGGCTACCTTCCTTGGGTATCTGGAAACAAGATTGTCTGTTGAAATAGGAGCGGCAGGGCGGGCTGTGTCCCCGGCACCCGGCCGCCCGCATGGCTAGCTTATGCCCGAAATAATTACACAGAAACTGTATTCTTTCAAACACTGCCTGGCCCGGCTAGTTCCAGTTTCTTATTGGTTAGCTCTTACATATTGTTCTAACCCATTTCTAATATTCTGTGTAGCCCACGAGCTGACTTACCAGGGAGCATCTTAACCTGCATCTGTCTGGAGCGGGAGAATCATGGCAACTCCTTCACTAAGCTTCTTTCTCCCAGAATTCTCTTCTGTTTTCTCCACCCACCTAAGGGTGGGCCTATCAAGGGGCCTAGGCAGTTTCTTTATTAATAAGAAATCACTCCCACATCAATTGTCAACTAGATGGCAGCTGCTTCCTCCTCTAAGAAAGTTCTCCACCAAGCCTTGAGGCTTCTTTGCCAGCTCACAGTCATGAATTCCTAGTGACCCAAGGAAATACCAAATACAGTTAAGCCTGGATCTGACTCCCCAGATACTCATATAACTAGGTGTGGCCTGAGCATCCTCTTTCTGTAAATGGATTCCACTAACAACCTGACCTGGAAACCAATGGCCCACAGATGTCCAGAGCCTTGGAAGGAGTCCCTTAAAACAATCACTAGAGCTGGGAAGACGGTTCTGCCAGGTAAGTGCTTGCCGTGCAAGCATGGGAGTGTGAGTTCAATCCCCAGACCCCACGTGAACTAAAACAATGATGGTGATGATGATGATAATAATAATAATAATAATAATAAAAATAATAAATAATGAAAGCTGAGCGTGGTGGCGCAGAGGATGATATTTATAATCCCAGAGCTGGGGAGGTGGAGACTGTAGGTTCATGGAGCTTAGTAGCCACTAGCCCAGCTTACTAGGCAAGTTCCATGCCAATGAGAGACCTTATTTCAAAAACCAAGGCGGCAGTGCTAACGAAATGATACCTGAAGCTGTTTCCAGTCCATGCCTGCACACACACACACGCACACACACACACACACACACACACACACACACACACACACACACACTGGTGATATTTGTGCACCCAGATTTAAAAGCCACCAACACAGAAGACATACTTAATTTTTCCTTCTCTGAAGCCATTGTGGCTCCTGGCTGGCTTGAGCTTGCATCTGATGGGGAGGTGGGTCATGGCTTACCAGGAGGAGCATGTGTGGGTCTCTCTGAGACTTCTCCATACAAAACTGTTCTGAATCCAGTCGGCAGAGCTCTGATAACCGAAGCAGCCATCAGAATTTTAGTTGAAGCACATCTTGTTCACCCCTGGTGGCCAGTGCTCTGGTGCTTCCATCTTCTACTTGGCCATTGTGCAAAGGACCTAGCATGCCTCACACGGCGCTCTGAGATAAATCAATAGATCCAGTGGGAAGGGTGGAGACCAGGCAGCTGAGATAAATCAATAGATCCAATGGGAAGGCCAGAGACCAGCCATTCTAAAAGGGTAATTCTACGTCAGTTAAGTTAATATAATCAAAGTCACTAAGGAGCTGCTCCATGCCAAGAGGCCGTGGGGTAGCACCTTGAGCACCACCGTCTCAATGGACCTCCACACTTACTCCCTGTCGCAGAGATTATTCAGTTGGTAGAGATTGTACCAGAAGGGTTCTCTGCAGGAACACAGCAAATGGACTGAACGCATTACCACAAAGGGGAATTGTTAGATTGGGTACCAGATACAGTCTGGGAGTCCAGTGGGGGCCATCTGCACACTGAGGAGGCTGAGAATCCAGTTAACAAAGCCAGGTGACTCAGCAGCCCCGGTCCACGCCCACAGCCTGGAGCTGCCACAGAGTGGTTGGTAGGGCGTCCATGTTGGAGAGCAGAAGAAGCGGGAGTCTAGCGTTATGGACGATTGTCAGTGGCAGCCACACATGCTGCCTTTTTCCAGGACATCTTCAAACCGAGGTCACCTGCTGGAAGATGCTGCCGGCTTGGAGGGAGGGCCTTCCCTCCTCAGTTAGCCTGTCTGGAACTATCCTCACAGCTTACCCAGAGGTGTTGCCTTCCATACTTGTGCATGTACACATCCAGTCACACGCGCAGGTGCCTACAGCAGAGACTGAGGGAAAATATCTTTTTATAAAAACCAGTGTTCCCCAACGGAAGACACAAAAATAAATCCCCAGATGCTCAGAGGAGTGACTTCCCTGGGGCCCTCACATAGAAATACTCAAGTAATCCTGATCCCTTCCAAATATTTGCTCCAGTGCTTCCTGGTGGCAGGGAGGACCCGCATCCGTAAGTGTTGGTCTGAAGAATCCTGCCAGACCAGAGGCCTGGGGTGGGGCTGGCATTCAGTTCCTCCCCCTCCCAGAGCCCTCGCCTTCTAATATCCCAGCGTCCAGGACCCACTGGGCTGGTCTCCACCTTCCTCCGCTGTTTCACATCTGTCAACTCTGGTGGATGGTTTTAGCGTGTCACCCTGTTGAGACTGCATTTGCCTGACACCAAACTAATCTCCTGTAGCCCGCAGCAAGAGACAGTCATCCCGGATGGTGGCATTGTTGGTAGCCGCCGTGATTCTCTCCCTTCCCCAGGGTCTAAGACCTGGTCTGGGGTTTCAGGAGGGCACATGGGTGGCCCCTGTGTCCCATGCTGCCTAGAAGGAGACTGCTCCCTGCTCACCCATACCTTTCTAGCACCCTCTCTCTAGCATGCCTGAGTTGCTGGGTCTGGGGGAGGTTCCATGGCCTGCATGTGCCGGGAGAAATAAGACGTCACATTAGCAGAGCGTTCGCCCTTTGTTGGCCTCCAGCATAGGAACCATTCTTCAGTGGAGGTTTTTCCAGGGGAACAGAATTGTTATACATAATCACTCCATTTTCGAGGCCTGAGTCGACTTCCTACTGTATAATAGGGAGCAAGGTGATGACCCCGTGTTCTGTAAATAATGGGGCCAGGCCAAGCGCGGGGAGCTTTTCTTCTGTGTCAAACTTCTTACAAACCAAACCCTTCAGACACAGAGTCCCCACTGAGTAACAAAAGAGGAAATGAGCAGGGAGACTAACTGCAATTGGAAGTCAAGGCGTTAATAACGTGAGCTAAGTCACTCCACTGGGTCCTTCCAGCATAGAACAGAACAGCAATGTACAAGCCACAGGAGAAGTGCGCTGGGGGAAATCGCGGGCGCCATCTGGAAATGCTACCCGTGACAAATAGGAGCTCCCCTGCTCCTGTTAGACTTCAAGTTTAACCTTTATTATTTTTCCATTTGATTTTTATATTTGCACGTTGTCTGCTGAACTAGAATTATAAACTCTGAGGGCAGAGACTAGATTAGAATCTTCTCAGAACCCCCTGGTTTTTAAAAAGATGCTGGACACAAAAAAATCTCTGCTCAAAGAACTATTTTGTTTGAGAAGGCCTATTTGAAATTGACTTGAGAATTCTTAGCACCCAAGGACACTGTTTAAGATTTGCTGTTGCCTCCAAGAAGTACAGAGCGGTAGGGGAAGTGGCTAAGTCCCTGGCCCTCAGCAGGCTGGAGAGGACGGCAGGAGACAGCGGAAAAGGGCATTGGTTTGTAGAAGAAATGCAAGGGGTGGGCAGGCTGGCTTGTCATCACCTCAAAGCACTTGATGCACAATGTGGAGGTTGGGGTCAGGTCCCTAGCACTTACAGAAAGAAAGCCCAGCATGCAGCTTACCTCTGTAACCCCAACATAGAGGAGGCAGAGCTGGGCAGACCCCTGGAGCTCACCAGGCAGTCAGCCCAGCAAAATCTGTGGGCTCCAGGTTCAGTAAGAGACCCTGTCTCAAAAATTAAGGTGGCGAGTGATTGAGGAAGACACTTACTTGGCATAGACTTCTGGCCTCTACGTGCCAACTGTGCGTGAGGATTCCTGAAAAGAAACTGTCTTCACAGGGAAGTGACAACCAAGGCTTTGGTGATGTGGGGAGGCTGGAATGCTGCAGTGAGAGCAATCTTTAGCCTAACAAACGCCATTGCTTACATGCCTGGGTCAGACCTGCCATCCCGGTAAACAGATAGAAACCGCTCTCCACCAATGGCTGCGTGTCCTCTGGCCTACTCTAACCCACCTCCTTAATGTATCCACCAAATGCCTTGATTTGTAGCTTTCTTTGTCCTGTTATCATTTTTTTTTTAGAAAGTCCATAAAACTGCTTCCATGTTAGAACATAAAACCAGGGGTAACTTTAATCTGTGTTCCCAAGCCACGATCACTCAAGTTTAGCTTCAGAATAAGCCATCTCTTGCCCTAGGTCAGAGTGGTCGCTGTCTGAGTTCCATAGTGATTGGGAGGTGGGGAGTAGCCAGGTGTGGGCCCCTCAGCTGCTTTGCCCTGAGTGAATCATATCTTTGGATACCACGTACCAAGGGCGAGACAGGAGTCTCTCAAGAATGTTCTCAGAAGTCTCATCAGGGTCTGCTTCAGTCACCTCATTCTCCTCATCCCCTCTGACGATGAGAAAGTTGACCATAGTGTTGAAGCCCCTAACGTCCGTCTGCAGCCATCTCTTCTTTTTCTGGAAGGATGACCCTAGACCTGCATTGTCTGTGGGTACTGCTTCCAGGGCATGACCCCAGCTCCTAGCTCAGCATACCCCAGAAGGATCCTGGTGGTGGTCAATATCCATACACAGCACCTGGGGCTTCAGTCCACACTTCCCACCACCATCTGCTGAGCTGATCAAGCCTGGCTTTTACCAGATGCTGTGGCACTGGTTCCTGCAGGGTGACAGGCCCTCACTGAGAAGACGTGAATGATCTATGAGGAGAATCAGGGTGGAGTCCTTGGCCACCCAGCCTTGTAGGAAAATGCAGTTCTCTTCCTTGGAACTCCCTGTCTTAGTCCCAGGCCAAACAGACAGATGCAGAAAACAGCAATGGCAGACTGTCACCACTTTTCCAGCCAGCACGGAGCACTGGAGGTGTCCTGGCCCATACTCCTCCTCACTCATCAGTGCAGTTCTATGCAGATGAAGGAGTTACAGACCACACAATGAAATAACTGAGTTTCTCTGGAACCTGTGAGTTTCGGGGAGGTTGAAAGAGGACAGGGACAGAAGAGATGGTTGAATTAAGATGGACAATAGAAAGCTGAGGTAATAAAATAAGAGGAGTTAGCCTAACAAGCTTGGTTTTATATTGCTTGGAAACTTCTAGAATAAAAAGTTTTCTAAAATTCGGTATATCTTCAAAATCCAGGTCACTCCCAGCTTCCACATGAAGGTGTTTTGACTGCACATTACACATAGATAGACCCCTTCCTAGACAAAGTAAAACTGTGTGGCTATTGGTATCCAAGGTAGAATGTGTACTATGTACATATATTATGTAGTTATTGTTTGTTGTGTTTTGTTGGTAGGGTTTGGTCACCCCTTTACTCTCATGGCTGAAGGGGTGAGAGATCAACTAGTACCTCATGAACTCCTGAGTGGTAGCTCATCCTTGTTGTCCTTGTGGCTGGACTTTGAGTCCCTTAGGAGACACACCTCTCAGTGTGTCTGTTGTAGGTGTCAACTGAGGAAGGAAGACCCCCACTTCTGACTGTGTGGTACCATCCTTTGGACTGGGTTCCTGGACTGACTAAAAATGAAAAGCAAGGCAGCCAGGCATCACAGTCTCTGCTTCATGACACGGCTAACCACCCATGTCATCCTGCTGCCACCATGCCTCCCCACTGAGTGTGATGGCCTTTGTCCCCGCAAGAGCCACCCATTCCCCCATGGTTCACAACTTGTACTCTTTCTACAGTACAAGGTTTGGCTCATCATGGATGTCACATAAAGGTTGGTTAGGAAATGTAGGGGCACCAGGTAGTGGTGCACGCCTTTAATCCCAGTACTCGGGAGGCAGAGGCAGGCGGATCTCTGTGAGTTCGAGGCCAGCCTGGTCTACAGAGCTACACAGAGAAACCCTGTCTCGAAAAACAAAACAGAAAGGAAGGAAGGAAGGAAGGAAGGAAGGAAGGAAGGAAGGAAGGAAGGAAGGAAGGAAGGAAGAAAGAAAATGTAGGGGCACCCTGTCTGCACACCAGCACAACAATCTCGTGGACTAGTATTTACCCACCAAATATAAGAGTTCCTAATGACATAGGGAAGAACTTACAATGCTAAGTGGAAAACTATTGGGGATAAAATCTTACATATTATTTACATTATTATATGTGTATATGTACTTATGCATACATATAACCTCACCCTGTAAAAATGAGCTGGAGAAAAGACAGATCTGCAGTTCAGGGATGTATTTATTTCTGGTTTGGGGGTTATTGTGAATTTTTCTCTTAAACTGTATTTTTAAAATCTGGTTTAATAGTCATCTGTGACAGGAGTCAGCAAACGTTCTCTATAAAGGGTCAAATAGTAGAAGTGTTTTTCGCCACAAGCCACACAGTCCCTGTCACAGCCTCTCCACTCATCTGTGGTAACTTACTTACACGCCACCGTAGATGAAGTGGTGATGAATGGGTGAACACATTCCAATAAAACTTTATTGACAGAACCAGGAAGTAGCCCTGCTTTGTCTCATGACTGGTCGTCGCTGGCTGACCTCTGCTATACTGTTGTGTGTCAAGAAAGCAATGTTATTTAAGAATGCACATGGCTGATGGATCATGGCAGAGAAACCTTATCACCATGTTTCATTATGGTACCCTGGCACTATAAAGCATCAGAAACTGAATTTATTGGTTAACAAATGTAAGAACATTTTAATTGTTATTTTGTGTGTATGGGTGTTTCACCTGCTTAAAGTATATGCACTTCATGCTTGCAATGTACACAGTGCCCCTAGAAGCCAGGAGAGGGTGTTGGATCCCCAGAACTGGAGTCACAGATGGTTGGGAACCACCATGTGGGCACTGCGAGCTTAAGGGGTGCTCTGGACGTGCAGGTGGTGCTTAGCTGCCCAGCATTGCTCTAACTGGAGACTCTCTGTGAGGGAGACTGATAGTTCACAGCAGATGTGGTCACCCACATTCCAGTCTTTCTTGACAAGGCCACCATATCAAGCTCACTTCAGTTTTCCCTTTTCTTTATCACAGCCCTGCAGCCTCTCGGTCGTCTCTTCCTTTTTCAAATGTAACACAGGATGACTAGCAAAAAATAAAAATTCTTTGTTTTTGTTTTTGTCTTTCTCCAGATTTTCTGAAGCAAAGGCTCTGGGAGAAAGTATAAATCAAACAAGAAGTAAAATTGGTAAGCAGAAGGTATTCTGGACGCTTCTTTTACCATTTCCCAGTGGTGGTGCTGTGCCTTCTTCATATAGCCATGAAATCTCGCATGCATTCCTGCCCAGGGAGTCGTGGCTCATACTTAGCAAGGCGCTTTGTGTGTGTCTGTCTTGGGCTGGTACCGGGTGTCTCACTGGCTTGCCATACCCCAGTGAGAGAGATTCGCTTCTGCCTGTGTTACAGCAGTAGCCCAGCCTGTCATAGCCGTGCAGTTACAACAGCACTGTCTCATATTTCCTAGGGTCGTGAAGCACTGCTACACTGCCCAGAGCTGCTGCTGGGCATTTTTGGCACTCGTGTACTTTCAGCACCATCCTTAAAGCCAAAGCCAGGAGCCGGAAAGAGCCAGTGCTCCTCTCCCAGCCGCCGAGCTTCCCCATTATGTGAGCTTGTCTGGAAGGGAGAGCTTAAGGCAACAGGCAAACTAAAAACGCATGCTTTTTCAAAGCAGGAAGAAAATATCTTTTATCCTAAGCTACAAAATACAACCAAGCCCCACCTCTCTGACAGAGCAGCTTCACAGAGGGGACCTTCTGCCTCTGTGCTCCAGAAAGCAACTGTTGCCTGTTTGCAACTGGTCCCTGGGTTCCTTATTGCCCCATCTGTCCCTCAGAAGCCACTTTGAGTGCCCCCTCTGTGACTGTACAAGAAAGAGCTGTGTATCTTAAAGTTGTCTTGATTTTGCATTTCCCTGATCGCTAAGGAAGTTGAGCATGACCTTAAGTGTCTTTTGGCCATTTCAACTTCTTTTGTTGAGAATTCTCTGTTCAGCTCAGTGCCCCATTTTATAATTGGGTTGATTAGCCTTTTACGGTCTAGTTTCTTGAGTTCTTTATATATTTTGGAGATCAGACCTTTGTCAGTTGCGGGGTTGGTGAAGATTTTCTCCCAGTCAGTTGGTTGCCTTTCTGTCTTAGCAACAGTGTCCTTTGCTTTACAGAAGCTTCTCAGTCTCAGGAGGTCCCATTTATTCAATGAAGCCCTTACTGTCTGTGCTGCTGGGGTTATACGTAGGAAGTGGTCTCCTGTGCCCACGCATTGTAGAGTACTTCCCACTTTCTCTTCTATCAAGTTCAGTGTGTTTGGACTGATATTGAGGTCTTTAATCCACTTGGACTTGAGTTTTGTGCATGGTGA